ACCCACCCTGCTGGTAGAGGCTCCCCTTAGCCCCCAACGCCATGCGGACTGAGAACACCCACCCTGCCGGTAGGCTCCCCTTAGCCCCCAACGCCGTGGGGTCTGAGAACACCCACCCTGCCGGTAGGCTCCCCTTAGCCCCCAACGCCATGTGGACTGAGAGCAGCCTCGGGATGACCTGTGAGGCCCCTGACGTGCCCCAGCCGCACTCTCACCTCCTGCCCCGCAGCCTCCTCACTGCTCCATGGATGTACCAGGCACGTCAGACCCGAGCTTCTGCTCAAAACCCCTTTGGCCCTGCAGCCCCTTACTTAACCTCCTGCACCAAGGGGCTCACACCTGCATCTCTGGCAAGACTCACACAGATGCCCCATGTCTCAGGGCTGACCTGACGGCCTATTCACATGGTACCAGGACTCCCACACCCTGCCCTTCCCTGTTTCCTCCACAGCCACTGTCAGCCCCTGACATGCCACAGAATGAACTCACTGACTAGATTTATGTTTTCGAGTCCCCGGCAAGGATGTCAGGATTCTGGCAGTGTGCCTGGGACATCACAGGCACACTGTAAACATCTGCTAAACAAATGAAGGAACAAACAAAGTATTTGTTCAAGTAATTTGTTGGTAAGAACTCTCCTCTTAGGATATTAGTCAGGGTTCCAGTCACCTGCAAGCCCAAGCACCTACATGCACGGGCCCCCAACCCCCCCATGCCATCTCTCCGAGGGGCTCCCCCTGCCAACTCCTCATGCCATCTCTCTGACCAGGGCGCTGCCCTGCTGCAGCTGACATCTCTGGAAGTCGGTGGGCAGGGCCTGCAGCACTGTCTCCTCAGGATGCACTGTGCTCCGGACCTCACAGCAGCCCAGGGCTGCCATCAAGCACACGAGGAAGACAAGACACACTGGGAGTTCCGACCAACATCACATCAACAAGGCAGCTCTTCTTATTCTACTATTGTGAAGTTGCAAGACTTGGCTCAAATCCCAGCCCCACCACTGTCACCAAGATAACCTGAGTGAGTTACTTCACCTCGCCAAGCCTCAGGGAATAACAATCCCTATCTCAAAGGGGCACTGGGAGGATGAAGGGAGTGATTCTATGGAAGTTATCAAATCAGGGTGGCTGGTACTACTTCACCAGCATCAGCAGTCATCATGACTACATTAGTTTTCCACGCAAAACTGCAAATATACAGCAAGTTCCTGCTGAAAACGTTTTGAAAATGACATTTATAAGCCTTAGAAAAAGAAAGACATCTTAAGGATAATTTTAAAAGGAGTCATCTCAAGGTAGTTTTACAAAACTAGAATCGAGACCACAGTGCATTGTCTGAGACAGGTGTGTGTTGCTGTGTGCTGGCCGGTGCCAGGTCCTTTCCACAGATGTCACCCACGCACCGTGTGGCTTCAGGCATTGTGGTGCCATCACGGCCATCGCACACACAGGCACTATCGGGCAGGAGGGCACTGTCGGCACAAGAACAAAGGCGTGCAGTAGGCTCCAAGAGTGCCAACAACTGGCCCTCCAGCTCCTGCTGGTCTACATGGCCAGGTTAACTGTGAAGAAAGGTTACCAGAGAAAGAGGAAACTGCCTCTTTGAAAATCTTGGTTCCACAGAAGCAAGAACGGAAAATGCATGTCACTCACACTACATGCTCTCGGCAGTACTGTGACCTGAGGCAGGTTCCTCATGAGACATAAAACCAGGATCCAGGGGGAAGGCAGAGACACACGGCTTCCACTCTGCTGACACAGAGTCGTTTAGTCTAAAAATATCGCCTGTGACAGCATCATAAAAAGCACTACTCACACAGAACCACGTGGGGAGCTTCTCCCTCGTAGACAGTCCTATAAACAGTTGAAGGAAAAAACAATTAAAATTGGAAATCACAGGCTTTCCAAAGAGAGACAGAAATCACCATCATCTTTCACCTTAGACACCAAATTTTATCAAACCAAAGTCATCTATTAAAAAGATATGTTCATAAACAGTTATTGGGAAGGTCAAAGACAGTTTCCCAGAGAAAGAATTCCACAAAAAGTGATTCAATTCTAAACTGAGTCTGGAACATACACGATACTGATAAAGACTTAGAGCCGCAGGGTCCCTGAACCTTGACCCACAGTCCTCAGCCTGATTGAAGTCTGGGGCACAGCTGATTCTCAAATCCCTCTGAATCTATGGGGGACGGTAAGAACGCAGGGAGAGGATAGGGGACAGGATGGCCCAGGACACCCACAGTCTCACCCCTGAAGGGCCTTCACCTGGACCACAGGCCAAGGGTTCTCCCTGTGCAGATTGCATCAGCAGGTAAACACCGCGCAGAGACTCCTACAGACAGACAGCCTCTGTCCAGTGATGCCCAAAGACTACAGAAACATAAGAAAGCCTGGACAGATGACCATGGTCAGCTGTGACAGAGAAAGAGTGCGACTGGGGTGACTCTTCCACCTCACTTAAAAGTCAGACAAAAGACATGAAATGAGGGTGTTCAGACATGGAGCAGCAGGCAGCACAGGACAACGATCCCCAGAGAAGGGAAGCAAATGGGATGCATCCTACCAATGCCGCAGCCTACAACCTGCGGAAAGTGCTCTGGCCACAGCACAGGAAGGGGGAATCCAGGCAAAGCCAGGGGAGTTGGAGACGGAGTTGAGAATTCAGGGAGGCAAAGGCAGAGAGGAAAGGGGAGAGATGCAACTGACATCTCTGGAAGTCGGTGGGCTGGGCCTGCAGCACCGTCTCATCAGGATGCACTGCACTCAAGACCCCACAGCAGAGCAAAAGCTAGAATTAGAGGGCAGAGTACCAGAAAGGAATTCCCTGCACAGAGAAACATTCCAGAGGTCTGTGGTGGATTCCCTAGAGTCTCTGCCTGAACATGAATGGGCACATGTGAGTGAGTTAACTACTGGAGGCGGGGGGAAAAACCGATAAAAAGAAAAAGCACGGACAATAGCTATGGCTCACACAGTTCTGGGAAGAGTTCCTACTCCCAACAACTAGACTGCAGGAGCCTTGCAGTACAGGGGACACCACCACGCGGGGCACTGGGAAGGGCATTGCCTCAGTAACAGGACTGCATGGGCAGCAGAGGAAGCTGGGGTACTGAGAGGTGACAATATGCTAGCAGCCCTCACTCTCAGCGCCTCCTAGGCAGGCCTCGGAGTCCACTCTGGCAGTGCTTGAGGAGCCCTTCAGCCTGCCACGGCACCGTGGGAGCCCCTCTCTGGGCTGGCTGAGGCCAGCGCCTCCTCCCTCTGCTTGCAGGGAGGTGTGGAGGGAGAGGCACCGGCGGGAACCGGGGCTGCATGCGGCGCTTGGGGGCCAGTGCGAGTTCCAGCAGGGGTGGGCGCAGGCTCGGCGGGCCCTGCACACACAGAGCGGCCAGCCAGCGCCCCGGCCCAGGGTACTGAGGGGCTTAGCACAAGGACCAGCAGCTGCGGAGGTTGCGCCGGGTCCCCCAGCAGTGCCGGCCCGCCAGCGCTGCACTCAAATTCTCACCAGGCCTTAGCTGCCTCCCAGCAGGCCAGGCCTCCGGACCTGCGTCCCACCATGTCTCAGCTCTACCCCCTCTCCCTCCCCGCCATGGGCTCCTGCGAGGCAGAGCCTCCCGATGGGTACTGCCCCCTGCTCCATGGCACCCGGTCCCATCAACCACCCAAGGGCTGAGGACTGCAGTCGCGGCTCCGGACTGGCAGGCAGCTCTGCCTGCCGCCCCGGTGCAGGATCCACTAGGTGAAGCCAGCTGGGCTCCTGAGCTGGATGGGGGCTTGGAGAACTTTTATGTCTACCTAGAAGATCCTAAATACACCAATCAGCACTCTATGTCTAGCTCAAGGTTTGTAAATACACCAACTGGTACTCTGTATCTAGCTAACTCTGTATCTAGCTAACATAGTGGGGACTTGGAGAACTTTTCCCTCTAGCACTCTGTGTCTAGCACTCTGTGTCTAGCACTCTGTGTCTAGCTCAAGGATTGTAAACACACCAATGGGCACTCTGTGTCTAGCTCAGCACTCTGTCAAAACGGACCAATCAGCTCTCTGTAAAATAGACCAATCAGCACTCTATAAAATGGACCAATCAGCAGGATGTGGGTGGGGTCAGATAAGGGAATAAAAGCAGGCTGCCCCAGCCAGCAGTGGCAATCCACTGGGGTCCCCTTCCACACGTTGGAAGCTTTGTTCTTTCCTTCTTTGTAATAAGTCTTGCTGCTGCTTACTCTTTGGGTTCACGCTGCCTTTATGAGCTGTAACACTCACCACAAAGTGTGCAGCTTCACTCCTGAAGCCAGCGAGACCACGAACCCACCGAGAAGAATGAACAACTCCAGACGCACTGCCTTTAAGAGCTGTACCGCGAAGATCTGCAGCTTCACTCCTGAAGCCAGCAAGACCACAAACCCACCGGGAAGAAGGAACAAACTCCGGACATACCATCTTCAAGAACTGTAACACTCACCACGAGGGTCCGCAGTTTCATTCTTGAAGTCAGCGAGGCCAAGAACCCACCAATTCCAGACCCAGTACTACACTAGGCGATACTTAACAAAGTCAGCAACAAGCCGCCAAAAAATCTGAACTTTTCAAGTAACTTAAATGCATTCCAAAACATACTTCAAAATATTTTAAAAGAATACAGAGTCCAACAATACAAAGTTGACAATGTCTTTCATCCATCCAAAACTGAGTAGGTATGCAAAGAAGCACAAAAATATATCTCATAATGAGATTGGTTGATCAGTAAGATACAAACCCAGTAATTATACACACAGAGATCATTAGTACGCAAAGACATTAAAATAGCTATTATGCACTTTAGGACGTAGAGGCGGGCAGATCATTGAGGTCAGGAGTTCACGACCAGCCTAAGCAACATGGTGAAATCCCATCTCTACTAAAAATACAAAAATTAACCAGGCATGGTGGTGGTCGCCTGTAATCCCAGCTACTTGGGAGGCTGAAGCAGGAGAATTGCTTAAACCCAGGAAGTGGAGGCTGCAGTGAGCCAAGATCATGCCACTGCACTGCAGCCTGGGCGACGAAGCTAGACTCCGTTTGAATAAATAAATAAATAGGCCACGTGCAGTGGCTCATGCCTGTAATCCCAGCACTTTGGGAGGCCGAGGTGGGTGGATCACAAGGTCAGGAGATCGAGACCATCCTGGCTAACACGGTGAAACCCCGTCTCTACTAAAAATACACACAAAAAATTAGCCAGGCGTGATGGTGGGCGCCTGTAGTCCCAGCTACTCGGGAGGCTGAGGAAGGAGAATGGTGTGAACCCAGGAGGTGGAGCTTGCAGTGAGCCGAGATGGTGCCACTGCACTCCAGCCTGGGCGACACAGCGAGACTCCATCTCAAAAAATAAATACATTGTATATGTAGAAGACAATACAGGAAAGCATAAAATGCTAAGGACAGACAAGAAAAGTATTTTTAAAACACACAAATCAAGCATGCAGAGATGAAAAATGTATCTGAGATTTTTAAAAATATGCTGACTGGGATTAACACCATATTAGACCACAAAAGAAAAGATCAGTCAATGTACAGACAGAAAAATCTGTGCAGGCAGAAACTACCTAAAATAAAACAAAGAAAGATTCTCTACTCCCAAAAGACAAAAATGTATGTGTAATTGGAGACCCAGAAGCAGGGGATGAGACAAGCCAAAAACATATTTTAAAAAATAATGACAAAAGGCAGGGCAGAGTGGCTCAAGCCTGTAATCCCAGCACCTTGAGAGCCCAGGAGTTTGAGACCAGCCTGGATAACGCAGTGAGACTCTATCTATACAAAAACATTTTTAAAAATCAGCCAGGCATGGTGGCACACACCTGTAGTCCAGCTACTCAGGAGACTGAGGTTGGAGGATCACCTGAGCCCAGGAATTCAAGTCTACTCTGAACTGTGATTGCACAACTGCACTCCAGCCTGGATGACAGAACGAGGCCTTGTCTCTAAAACAGACCAAAAAAAAATCACAAAACATTTTCAAAAATGGATGAAAATTTAAGCCCATATATAGATTCAGAAAGGTCAACAATCCCCAACCAGAAATAAATAAATAAATAAACAAACTAAACCAAGGCACATCATAATCAAATTATGTTAAAAAAAAAAAATCTTATAAAGGCAGCCAGAAAAAAAAAAACACATTATGGCAAGAGCAGCTAAAAATCTACTCATTTGCTGCTCTTGCCACATAAAAACAAAACAAATAAAAAATGGGTACCTATGTGAGATGATGGATATGTTAATTTGCTTCACTACAGGAACATTTTTATTATCTGCATTTTATCATATTGTGTACCTTAGATATGTACAATATAATTTTTTAAAATAGGAAACCATGTACAGAGACAAGCACAGACAGGGTGAACAGAGAACTTTTCAGAAACAGTGCAAGTCAGAAGCCAATTGAATTCTATGTCTAAAGTAATGAAAGAAAAGGCTACCGACCTGGAAAACTAAACACAGAAAAAATAACTTTCAAATATAAAAGTAAAAAGAAGACTTTTTCTAACAAACAAAAGCTAAAATAATTCATTATCCAACATACATGAACTACAAATAATATTAAAAGAAGTACAAAATACAAAAGGAAAATAATACCAGAAGGAAATCTGGATCTACAAAAAGAAGTGAAAACCGTTGAAACAGAAAATATGTAATATATAAAAGCCTCTTTTTCTTAATTTTTTAAGATTGTTTTCAAATATAATAGACTATGTAAAGCAAAAAAAAAAAAAAGCAATGTATTGTGGGGTTTATGACAATGTCGAAGTGAGGTGATAAGGGCATAATGTAATAGCCAGAAGTAAGAGAGAGAATACTTTTGTAA